TTCATTAATCAATGTACCATGTACAGGGCTCACCTGTAGATTACACCAATTGTATTTGACAACGATGAATGGAACGCATTTTGAAAGTCGATCGAACGTCAAGTCTCAAGCGTCGATATATAATATGTATAGTGTATACACCATAGTACTATAGTACTATAGTATTATATATACACGTATACCTACTTAAAAGTTAAAATGTAGAATACCAGTATATTTCTCTATTCAAATAAAATGTCATATTAAAATTGTCTATGTAATAGTTGTAATTATAGTGATATAAGGTTTAATAGTAAGTTATCTATATAATAGTAAGTTGATGACATGTGCAACGAAACGACACTGAGTTCAGTATAGATTTTGGAGAAATGGCGAATATACTCGAAAGTTCCAAATTACGAAATTAATTGTTAACGTCACTGTCTTGGAGAGGGATTAACGGAATTTTATTAACTATAATAACTATTTGATTTGGTTTTTTTCGATTTTTGATACTACTGATTTTCTATATATTATTCTCTCATGTCACCCATTCGACGTCTCTTTGATATTTCTGCCCCATGTAATAGGCTTTGCATGCCTTATTGCCTTCCATAAGACATTTACTAGGCGGCAAGGGTTCTGAAGTCTATCTCAAACGTTTATTTACACTTCACTCATCACACTCACTCATACATCTCGGAATGTGGCTATATAACAATCTGACGTTTTCCCAACTCTTAATGTTCTGGAACAAGTCAAATGACAATGAGACTAATACTGCAGTTTAGATAGGTAGTGTATAATTAATATGAATGTATAAAAATATAAACAAATATTATTCCATTTGTTTTGTTAATTTGCTTCGAAAGTGACTTTAGCTTGAAAACCGATAGGTAAGATTTAATAATATTCTAATTTTATCACTTTTAAATTTTTGAGTCCAAAGTTTCACTGAATTTCTGCATAGTACTATATTGTTATTTATATAGACTACTGTTATTTATTTTTGAAAAATATTCACGATTTTCTATGGAAGCTTCAAGACTTAATGCCTGCCGTAAATGACTCAATAAAGTGATGATGGTTACGCGAAGAGTAGTCTGGCATATTGGATATTGATGGATCCAAATGAGACTATTCCAGCTCAATGGATAAAGCGTGATGCATTCGAAATGCGATGACAAAAATAGTATCCTTCTGCTCAGCATTGAGGCTTCATTTGAGGAATTGATTGTCCATTGCTAAAATAATGATCAAATTAATGAACAAAACGGTAGTTTTAACAAGAGATTTTTTTTTTCATTTGAAATTATATTTCTCATTTGTGTATATTTTACCCAAAATTGTCAAATTTAGTGATACTGAAGTGTAATATATTTTATTTATGTGTTGTTTTTAAATTTCGAATCTTAGATAATAAACGGAATAATACGAATTTGTAATAATATTGGATTATATTTTAAAAAAAAAACCATATACATAATATACAACTATATACATTTTTCAATTCTTGTTTGAAATCCAAGTTTATCACTTTGTTACTTAAAAAAATTGAAAACATCCGGTGTTTTTGTACCTTAAAAGCGAATGACACTAAATAAATAACATATGTGTATAAATAAATCACTTTACCCAGACGGCAGACACGTACTTTTTTACACCCTCGTACTTGTACCTTACATGCGATCTCCAGAAAAAAATAGATCGATGCAGTTACACAATCCAAATGTACATAAATTAATACTGCTCAATTCTCATATAGGTACATTTTTTTTTTCGTTCAACGCACATGTTAGTATTTTTACTGTAATAGATGGAAATGTAATTCGACGGGGATCCGTTTATGCGTTTGTTAATTGTTTAACATATATTCAAAGTCAGTTTATTATTATTTAATATTTACATCCTAGATGATTAAATTATAATTAGGTATATATATTAAATATAACTCAGAAGTGATATTAAATATTTTAGGGTTTACTATGAAATATCGATTATTGTCATATATTATTATGATCATTTTAAATTTTAATACACACTTGAGTATACAACTAAAAATTGCAAATAAATTAATTCGATGAACAGCATATCGCACCATTTTAATTAAATCAAGAAATTTAAGTTTAAATAACATTTAATAATCAATGATAAAACAGTCTTTGGTATCATCGAGATATAATGTTATTTAATACCATTGTCCATTATTATGTTATTTTTAGTTAGTACCTTATATTATTATTGTATATTTGTTTGTATGCTATCATATTTTGACAAAATAAAAACCAAAATGTTTAGGTACCTATCGCAATAATGCATAGGCTATTATTTTTAAATATACTCTAAGATAACATTCTAAATTTCTTGAATTATTTCGTTTAAGGAATGTCCTGTAGCGATACAAACTTTGTAAAATGCTTTTAAAAATAAATGAGAACTCTCCCTTTTTACTGTAAATTATTTAGTGGAGAATTTTAAATGTTGATGTCATTCAAAATTCAAATGAGTAGGTAGTTTCTTAGTTTTTAAAATATTTTTACTAAGGATAATAATCTTCAAAAATAGTTTTACAAAAATTACACATAATATTGGAACTAGTATTTGTTATACTTGGTCCATTTTTACAAATTTTTAATGTTGAGAAAATAATATTGTTCAGTTATCATTTTAACAAAATATACAAGATATTGAATTAAGATAAAAAAAAATTATTCACTCAAACAATTAGTACGTAATTCATTAATATAATATGCGGTTTCAAACAGATTCAATTTACTGATAAGATGAACCTATTCTTCCTATTCACGTACATGTTACTGATGTACTTATTGTTGTATACACCTAAGATATTAACGAAGAAGACATTACGAGGAAAGGTTAATTATTTCTAACATTTGAATGTTACCCACTTTGAAATTTACTTTATTGAGATATTTAAAATTGCTTATATAGTCACTGGATAATAATAAATATTACATATAGGGTACTTATGTAATGTATTTTGCATTTTATGAGTGGTAGACAATTTAATCATTTGGATATTTAATATTAGGTATAATACGTATTAAATCTGCAATATGGAATTTAAACTAAAAGAATATAACATTAGAATTATCATAATATAATTGTCAATTTGATTAGCAAATAAATTCTAACTACCTATATATTAAAAAGTGTATATATATATTACTAACAGTGAATTGACAGTCATATTATTCACCATAATATTCATACGAACATTGCAATTTGGTATATAAAATTATCTAATTGTAAACTAAGGATGTATAATGTATATCAAAGCAAAACACTGGTAAATAAAAGTGTATCGACCTCAGATCAATAAAGTTTGTCAGCAGAATTCTTATCTTAAGAAACCATAAGGTTCAACAATTTATATTTAGGGTATATAAAAATAACGTCTGTGAAATCATGATAACACTCGTCAAAAATAAACTAGGTAATATAAATTGAAAACCTTTGATTATATATAATAAACATTATTATAATATGATAAGCTAAACTACTAAAGACTGCAGGAATTACTAACTATATAGGTATGTTTCTCCTCAGATTTTTTTGCCGATAATTTCCATAAAAATAACGATTACTTACATAATTTTATGGCTAACAGTAACTAACCATATTTTATTTAGTTTTCAAAATTGTATTGTAGTTATTAAACTGTTTACCTACCTTACGCCCAATAATAATGGTAGTAAGTTAATTTTTTTTTTTACAAGCTGTATCAAATATTAATTAATAATGTACTGCTATACATGTTGCTATCGGACAATATTGTTAGGTGCAGCTAAAAAATCAAGGAAATGGACATAATATGTTTCATTTTGAAACCTATCTATACTTACCCATAATATGTTGCTATACATATTTATCTAAATAATAGAGAATAATAGAATATATTTTCTTGGATCTTTTTCTCATCAGTAAACAGCAAAGTAATTACATTTTATCAATAGCCACAAAACCCTTTTTAGTAAAACAAGTTCCTTTAATGTGCTGACGTTCATTCAACATTTTAAATTATTCATGTATTCTTTGCTATATATGTTCGATGTGTACAACTTGGACCATTTTGTATGAACAATTTTACTGAAAGCATAGAATTCAGGCTAAAATATTACGTATGCACGCGTTCTTTGGTTAATTAACAATTGATTTTAGGATAAAAGCTATATAAGCTAATATATAAATCAATACCATTTAAGTATTTTTACACTTAAATTTAAATTCAAGTTTTCATTTAATTCATAACACATTTAAAATATGAATAACAAATTATTATTCAAAATATATAAATAAAACATTTAGCTATTAATAATGTACCTACTGGATTATAAATTGGACTAATATTTTTAGTTAATAATTATATAGTATTTATAGTATTATCATATATTATAATATAAATATGTTAAAATATGTTACTATACCTATTATATTCACTCTACACAATATTAAAATATGTTTCACTATTATTACAAATAATTTTATTTCAAATACTAATGAAATGTATGGCGCAGTGTACATTTACATGTTCGTAGGTATAATAAATTAAGAATGAAGTTGCTTGTATTACAATTTACAATCTTCATGATAATGCACTAGTAACGTTTAATTTAAATATAATATATATAAATTAGTACTGCACTAGTAAATATTTTAAGGCATTGAATCTTTTGATTATATCTTGTAATAAACGAAATTACTTTTTATAGAAT